GCTTCCTCGGCGACCGGGACCCCACTTTCCACTATCCGGGTCATCAAACGTTGGTACCTCCTACCAGGTATTCTGCACTCCTTTGATGGTCGGATAGCCCGAAAAAAAAGCTACAACTCGCTCAAAAGAGGGGATATATCGTCCGGTCTTCCTTGGCTGATTGGGTATACTTAGGCGGCGAGTGCAAGGAGCAGGGGACCGGCACGGGAAGACACACCCGACGACAAGTTATAAACGGCGGCGCAGGCATGCCGGCACTCTGGAGGCGTGAAGGACGCAGCAAGAGCGCTCCTAGCCGATCAACCGTCACCGGGGAACGACGAAACATGGGCACGTCTGAAAGCAAAATTTCCGCATGAGGATCCCGTACAAGTGGAGCAGGCCANTCAACGATCCCAACGCGTTCCCACCGGAGTTCTGGACTCTTTGGAAACAATCCAGTCTAATCGCCCTCGGTGAAAAGTGCCGTCCAGTGTGCATTGGAATGACTTGGAGAATGGCTGATTGCCGCGGGAACGGTCAGGGAGTGGAAACCGAAACTGGAAGAAATATTTCGGGAAGCGGACCAATTCGGAGTGGCGGTAGCTGGAGGAGTTGAACAAGTTGCGATGGACGCACAACTGGTTCATCAGACAGGTCATTGGGTAGTCCAGACGGATTGCTCAAATGCCTTCAACACGGGCAAGCGCACCGCCATAATGGCCCAGGCCGCAAAGAGCGTCCCAGATCTCGTGGGGTACATCGCCAGGTGTTACGACGAAATCCCGGCAAAGGCGATATACACGATGGACTCCGGAGAGCGTCGGACGATCGAGTGCAAGAGCGGTGTGCAGCAAGGAGATGGAATGGGACCGCCCCTGTTCTGCTTCATCCTAGTCCCGATCGTCTTGAAGCTTAGAGCCAAGTACGACCACCTCGGGGTAAGCTTGAAAGCTTATATGGACGACATCAGCCTGCACTTCAAAAATATCACAGCGGACAATATTCAGGTGATACAGGACCTCGTCGACGAACTAGAAGCAGTGGGCATCATCGTCAACATGGGGGAAGAGCTCAGCGCTTCCCCCACCAGGGCACGACGTGACGCCAGCAGAAAGGAGGCTACTTGGCGATGCAGGCCTACCGATTGCGGAGGAGGGCATCACAGTTGTGGGAGTCCCCATTGGGACGGATGCCTACGTCGAGGATATCGCAATGAAAGTGATAACTGAAGGGGGTGCAGACAAGCTTGCTCGCATGCTGGTGCGCATGCCAGACAAACAGGTGGCTCACCTCGTCACATCACAATCGCTGACACAGCGATCCGGATATATCGAGAGAGGCATCAATCATAAGCTAGTGAAAGGGGCTTGTAAACGCCTGGACAATATGGTGATGTGGGTCCTAGAGGCAACGATGGGGCTCAGAGACACCGAAGTCGAAGAAGAGTTCTTCCAAGACGACTGCCAGCCTGACCGCTTCAAGTTAAAGCCCTATCAACAAGCCCAGGCGCGCCTGTCGACAGGAGCCGGAGGACTAGGATTACCAGCAGCCGATATGCGAAGGTTCTCAGCTCCTCTGGGCAACCTAGTCGGCACCCTTCCTGCGGTTATAGCCGCATTACGGGGTCCATTGGGAGAGTCGGTGAGAGTTCGGATACCGGGAACCGTGTTGGTGGAGCGGATGGGGGACGCTATCAAAGAACTCAACCAGGAGCATGGAATATCGGTGGAGATTCTGAAGGGGATCCTTCCCCCGTCATGGGTTGAGTGGGCCTTAGAACCGACAGGAGAAACCGGAAGGCGTCAGCCCACCGTTGCAGAACTGGCAGCACACGATGGGGAATCTACTACGCCGAGGAAAGCCCAGCACAAACTGGGCAAGGCGATTAACAAGATACAACTTGAAAAGTTCATGGAGTCTCTGGAGCACCTCCCCCAGGAGGCGGTACCACCCACGCGGGACAACCCCTACGGAGGTCAAGAGGCCAGGAACATGGCATACGCACGAACGAGAAGCTCGCAAGGGCAAGGGGGGCACGCGTTCCTGAGAGCGGCTCCCACCGACCGAGCTCGAGAGATTCCATCGAACGAATTCGTCTACGCGACGAGACGCGCCTTGGGAGTTGAAGAATTCTTGGCGGAAAGATGTCCCAGGTGCCACAGAGGCAGGGAAGGCGAGATCATCACAACGGTGCACGCAAGGACCTGTCGAAGGGATGGAGCACAGGTCAACATGCACGAGCCGTTAAAATACGCACTATCGAGAGCACTCAACGGCCTTCGCGTCAAACACGACGTTGAAAGCGGGACACCGTTCACGGGGGAAAGAAACCTGAGCATGGACATCGTCATCAGGCCAGGAGCCCTCACGAACGCATCTTCTCCGGGGTACCGCAACAAAGGAATACTCCTCGATGTCACACACGCAGACCCGCAAGCACAGGTACACTTGCGGAACGGCAGCGCGACCAGCGATGGAATCGCAGCCCAAGCATCCGAGGCGCGAAAGCGTCAGCACTACGCTCGTCCGGGACACGTGTCCTTTGACGAACGCAGCTTTAAACTTACCACCTTAGCCGTGGAAAGCTTTGGCCGCCTTGGAGAGGAGGGTTACGAGTTCATCGATGAACTTGCGACACATGCCGTGGGAGGAAGGGACGGAGGAACGATGGCTCTGAAAGGAGTCTTCAAGGAACGACTTCTTCAGATCGTTTCGGTGGCTACACAGGTGGCCATATCTCGGCGAGTGCAGAGGTACAAGCTCGCATTGCGCGGGCGTCAAGACGCCGAAAACAGGCGAACAAGATCGACCTCGGACCAGTCAACGCCAATGATATGGGGATGGAGTGTAGACGCATCGTAGAACGCGTTTTCGTTTGAAGTTGGCGTCTTGTTTGAGAGTAGATGTGACAGATTTGCGTAGAATAGGGTAAGATGTTATCATGAACGGAGATGAAAGGGCTTTTCCAACACGGAGATGTAGCATGGATCAAAGCATTTGTTGGATTTCAGCTTTTACAAGAGGACATCAACGCAGTAGTATTTTAGCAAGCTTACGAACGAACGCATATAGATAGGATACCATGAGGATTGTCATTGGTTTTATTTCAAGTTGAAGAGGAGATATTTTTACGATGTAAGGGATAGTAGAAATAAGTCCTACATGTGTTGTTGTACTTCGTATTGGTTTAATATTCATGTAGAGTATGAGACATTAAGTGAAAGTTTTCTGAGGTGCATCTGCAATTGTCGGAAGGCAAAAAAAAACAAAAAAATGGAATCCGGGGACGGACCCCTCGCCAGGCGCTGCCGGAAAAGAACAAAGGGTGCTTGTGAAAGTGACCATCTGGGATTCGAACCCGTGCGTGTATCACTTATTAGAAGGGCTTACTCCATCAGATCACCCAGTCAGCGCCGACTCACTCGTCTCATGGTTGAACAATTGGCGCTGCAGGATGCATGCACGGGTTCGAATCCCGGCTACTCACTTTCCCAAGCACCAATAAGTTCTTTTCAGGCAGCGTCTGGCGAGGGGTCCGTCCCCGGAAATCCCTACTTCCAAACCTCCCAGTGACCAGCCGGGTGGCCACAAGCCGAGAGTGTATCTTTTTGTTGGTAAAGCTTACCCCATTAGACTACTCAGTCACCATGACTGTTAGTAATAAGGCTTAACCCATTAGACTACTCAGTCTCGAGTAGTCTAATGGGGTAAGCCTTACTAACAGCCATCTCGCGACGCGAAGTCGAGCCGTGTACTCTTTGAAAGGCCGGGCTTAGTTTTCCTGATTCCGGCGGCTTGTTCTGATTGGTTCGCCGAGCATTCCAACAACTGTTCGCTACTCAATTTCCTGCTGGTTGCGACCGCAGGTTCCATTGTTTTGTATTTGCACGACAAGGAAGCCAACATATTCATCGAACAAAATCGTGTCAGCTGATCGTTTGACAAGAGTGACAGCGTGGCAACATCCGCTGCATCCTCCGGGGCAGAGTGTCGATGGCAAGTTGAGCATTTTTCTACTCAAACGTCTAGACCATGTCGTGTCGTTTACTGTCAGAGCTGGGGTTATCGCAAGGTCTTGCTTCCTCTACTCCTGTGAAAAGGAACATCGTCACTAACGCGTCTCCCTCCAAAAAGACATACTCCTTGGCATGAGCACGGGCACAAGTCGTTGCACGGATCCCATCCGCCTCCTTAATTTTCGTGGGTGTCTCACTTCCAGAGTAAGCTGGCAAAGGGTGCACTTGTCTGGAAGGAGCCATCTTGCGCTGCGACATCTACGTGTTGTGCCCAGTACCGTCGGGTCACACAATAGTAGCTAAGTGGTCGTGAAGGTAATCTCGCAACCTCGTGACGTTTGGACGTGGGTTCGAATCTCGGTGCAGTCATTCGAACCGGGAGTGTTGTTCACTTAATGGCCAAACCAAGCGGAACGCGAGTAGTTCGTGAGTACGCAAAACGTCGACTTCAAGGCCCACGACAAGGAAAAGAACGGCTGAAGCCCTTCTGCTATGAAAGTCAAGGCATGCACCGCAGAAGGAAGGCGGAGAATACAGCTCCTGGCTGTCGTTCCTCCTGTGTGAACCGGGGCTGTTACATCCAGAGTTGAATTTACCGAAAGGTGTAAGGACCGATATCCAGAATAATGACACGGGATCACGAAGAAAAGGCAAAAGCACTGAAACTGGGGCTTAGCTGAATGGCAACAATCCCCCCTCGACTAACCCAATCATGTCGGCTGCTGAGGCGGCAAGAACGGTATTCTACAATTGTTGGTTAGTTAAAGCAGCTTGCCCAAGCCCAGAATCCAAATCCAACAATGCAGAACAACAATTGCCTCAAAGAGAAAGGGTCCCCCCCCCCTGAGGCCCCATTTGTGTCGTCATCGCTTTCGTTGGACACGTCGTCATCGTCGCCATCGTCGTCGTCGTCATCGTCGTCATCGCAGAGTCCATTGCCGGCGCAGGCGAAATACTGTGATGTCAGGCAATCTAGGTAAAATCGATCAGCACAAAAAAATGTCGGGATCGCGGAGGAAACGTTGTCACGACACGAAGAATCTCCGTTAAGTGCTATGTATACAGCTCTTGTACAAATATGGAGAGATAACCTATCGCAAGCCCAAGCATGTGACGGAAACCCGACATGTGTTTTGGGGGGCACCGGACTTTGCGACCTTTGATCCCTTCGTCTGGCGTGCTCATCATGTGCGGCTCCGAGTGACGAAGCAGGAACCGTATGTATATGTCGGCCAGATTCTCTCGGCCGTTTGCCCCTACTGTAGCTTCCCAACCCTCTCCGTATCCCTAACCCGGGATCCAGGATAGGATCATGGAACAAAAACAACTTTCCCCTCACGGTGCCAAAGCACATATATGCCGCAACATCCAATCGTGTCCATCAGGAGGCCAGCGGAATCAAGACGAGACTATCAGCGACTACACGCGGACAGGGCCGAGGTACCACAGAGCTGCAGAGAACTTTGATCGCAGGAATCGTCGGGTGAGTAAAGTAGCAGATATCGAGGACCATGGCCTTCGTTGAAAGCGATTTGATGACGTGGCTAGATGAAAAACTGCAAGTATCGTTCGTTTCAAGTTGAAATTTGTCGAATCTCTATCCGGTTCAGTTTACTTTATTGGGAGGTATTCGAAACTTTGGACGGTACAAGCGTGCGGGTCGTCAGCATCACGCGGTCGTTTACTCCCACTCTGACATCTACGTGTACGGGGGTTACCTCGTTGGGGTAAACCAGACAAGGAGATATCTCCCGGGCAGGGTGGGGGAGCTTCCCCGGAAACAGCGAACTGCTGTAGATGCATCTTATATACGTTCTTAGATTGTGTGACGCCAATCGGGTCGGGGAAAAATCCTAACGCTTGTCTCACGGCTTCGGAGGGATGAAACGATCAGCTTGTTTAGCCTGGATGTAATGTATCTTGCAGGCAGGTGCGTCCTCCACGAGAGCGTTACAGGAGCAGCAGCCACCGCAGCGGCAACTACGACGACAACCACCACCACAACAACAACGAAATCGGCAACGTATGCTCGGGCGCGCTCACCGATGTATTCGTTCAATTCTTCGCCTTCCTGGCAAGTAGGCGAGCTTCTGTACAGGCAGCACATCGCATCCGCCAAATCTTCGCAGCCGGTGTTGTTGTACGGAGGGCAACCCCCCTCTGAGGCGGTGGTTTCTGAGCTGTCATCAAGAATGGCGGCGCACTCCGTGCACTCGGACGACATGGAGCAAGCCACCGCTTCTGGCAAACACGCAACGCCGGAGTCTAAAAAATCGTCGCCGCCGCCGTCATCATCACCCCAGTCCGGGTCCCTGACGTATCCGGCGCGGCAGACTTCATCCACCTCGCCGTCCCAGCAGAGTAGCTCCCCGAAACACGCTGATGGGCAATGGAAAGAGATACCGCGGCCGTTGTGCCGTAGCAGCAGCAGTAGAACGATAGCGCCAACTCAAAGTTTCAGAGTGGAAGCCTCGGCCATGCAGGCCGCAACATGAACATGAGTGCAGGGGTTGCAAAAGATGGCCGCAGCGGACGAAGTCTCTCAACGTATCAATATTTCTGGTGACGAAGAGGGTGCCAAACGGATGCCTTACGATAATTGTCTTGCGGTTTCTGGTCTCTCCCTAGGGCCATCGATCGGTTGACGGTCTGCCGTGTATAACAATGAGACACACCCCGTTAAACGCCACTGTCGTCTACCGGGAACCCGCACACGACACAAGGCACAGCGAGGTCTAACTGTTGGAACCGTGCTTTTTCGAGTACAGTCGTCTTCAGACGGCCCGATACTGCTGTTTCGTTGTATTATGCATACGTAGACGAAAGTCTGGTCGCCAAGATCTGAACTGCAAGCAAAACGATTGGCGTGTACTTGTATGCGTTTGTAAACCTGGTGTGATCTTTCCACTTGAATATTCGATAATGGCGCCTCGCAGGACATCAACCGTTCTTGTGCCCGGAAGCTACTGCACGTTCAAGACGGACAGCACGCTTACGGATACGCGGGCCCTACGTGAGCTAAGGAACCTTTGCGCCCTTCTCTAAGAAAAAACTAATCTGACTTAGAACCAACCAGATGTCTTCTTCCCGGCCTCGACAACTCCAACCGTGGGACGTCTCAGTATTTCAGTGCAGAAAAGAAACTAGTTGGTCGATGCCGTTACGCGAGGATGGCCTGCCGTACCAACCAAGTCGACGAGTAGGGTGTTTTCTAAGCAGGCGTCCGAGGTTCCGTACGTGCAGCACAGCGAGTCCCAGTACGATTCGCAGTCCACCACACCAATCTCGTTGCAGTAAGCAGGGCCCGATGCCGCACATATCAGACAGTCGGCGCTAGCAAAGCAAGCTTCCATGGTTGCGGAAAAGCATGATTCTTCTGACGATTGGTTTGTCGAATTTGAGTTTGTGACGGTGGTATTGGTGGTAGATGAGGCTGCAACTGCAAGCATGTGCTGCCAGTTGTGGTTCGTCGCCTTGCCGACAAAGCTGGGAATTGGCGCCCCCACTTGGAGAAGAAGTTGTGGGATCGACCTCTGCTCCTGCACCGAAGCTTGCTTCGCGACGACGAGTCTCGCCACAAGGAGCAGAAAAAGGAAGCGTGCGATGATGGCCTTGCGATCTGGAGTCTTTGTGGAAACGCCGAACGTCGATGAATGTGCCGCTTGCTGCGTTGCCCTACTGTCCATAGTTTGTCGAGGAGAGTAGTTTATTGTTGACACTTCTCGGGGAAACACTACAAGCAAGGGCCGAGCAAGGTCAGTGTACAGAAAATGTTCACCAAACACGTACGAGGAAACTACGAGACACGAGTTAGACGGTTGAAGGCTTCATGTGTCTCTTCGGCACACACACGAGATTGCGCCGCAGATCAGGTTGCAGGTTGCGCCGCATCAGGGGCCACGCCACATCTTACACATGTGGTGGAGTAACAGCATAGCATCGACAAGAATTGCCGCAATCGGCTGACAAAAGCGTTCTTGCATCATTGCTGGTCAATCAAGAGTAGCCCCGCCTTAGTATATTAGACTATATGTTGCGTGAGTTGTATTCAACGATTTTACGTGGAAATCGTGTCATCTCGCGATATGTTTTTTCGGCACACGGCTACTACAGAGCACATTGATTGGAGAAACAAAGGCGGCTGGCCGACCATGTCTTTATTTTTCTGATCGACTTGACGACCAGTTTTGCCCCCCCTCCCCC